ATAATGGAGTTCATGGGGGGGGGGGGGTCAAATCAGGAGTTCTATAACTTTTTGCAGCGCCATAAATATTCTTGGTTTCAAAAAAATTCCGGCTAAATTATTGTAATAAAAATTGTATGTAAAGAACACAGTTATTGTGGTTGTCCTTCTTTCATGGACGTTTAGAGACTAAAAGAAAATGCATCGGTCACATTCGGTTAAGCCTCACTGGGGTCAGAGTTCAAAGAATTAATGAGGAGGAAATAAATGATAAACGTTAAGTAGTTCGATAATTTTTCACAAGCACACACGACCATAGGGTTGAAAAAAAACCGATTAAAATACATTGCAGGTTAATGACGCACAGCTTTGCATGTCAACCCAATGAACCACAGCTTTACACGTTAACCCAATGGAGAGTAGCTTTACATGTTAATCCAATGGAGGACAGCTTTACGTGTAACCGAAAGAACCACAGCTTTACATATTAACCCAATGAACCACAGCTTTACATGTTAACTCAATGGAGAGCAGCTTTACATGTTAATCCAGTGAAGAATTGCTGAACAGGTTTACCCAATGGAGAACAGCTTTACATGTTAACCCAATGGAGGACAGCTTTACGTGTAACCGAAAGAACCGCAGCTTTACATATTAAATCAATGTATGACAGCTTTACATGTTGACCCCATGGATGACAGCTTGACGTGCAACCGAAAGAACCACAGCTTTACATATTAACCCAATGTAGGACAACTTTACATGTTAACCCAATGAACCACAGCTATACATGTTAACCCAATGGAGGTCAGCTGAACATGTCAACCTAATGGCGAAAAGCTTTGCGTGTTTACCGAATGGAGCTCAGCTTCACATGCTAACCCAAAGGAGGCAGCCTTACATGTTAACCCAAAGGAGAACAGCTTTACATGTTACCCCTAAAGGAGGACAGCTTTACATATTAACTCAATTGAGAACAGCTTTACATGTTAGCATAAAGGATATCAGCTTTACATGTTAACCCAACGAACTACAGCTTTACATGTTAACACAATGGAGGACAGCTTTACATGCTAACCCAACGAACTACAGCTTTACATGTTAACACAATGGAGGACAGCTTTACATGTTAACCCAACGAACCACAGCTTTACATGTTAACACAATGGAAGACAGCTTTACATGTTAACCCAATGAACCAAAGCTTTACATGTTAACCCAATGGAGGTCAGCTGAACATGTTGACCCAATGGAGAATAACTTTACGTGTTGACCAAATGGAGCTCAGCCTTACATGCTAACCCTCAGGAGGACAGCCTTACATGTTAACCCAAAGGAGGACAGCTTTACATACCAATGCAATTGAGAACAGCTTTACATGTTAGCCTAATGTATAACAGCTTTACATGTTAACCCAATGGAGGACAGCTTTACGTGTTAACCCAACAAACCACAGCTTTATATGTTAAACACAATGGAGGAAAGCTTTATATGTTAACACAATGGATAACAGCTTTTCATGCTACCCCATGGATGACAGCTTTACATGTTAACACAATGGAGGACAGCTTTACATGTTAGCCCAATGGATAACAGCTTTACATTTTAACACAATGGAGGTCAGCTGAACATTTCAGCTAATCCAAAAGACTGCGTTCTAAAGAAAAACGTCTATGTTAATGTAGGTAGGAAATGACTTTAGAGCGTTAGCGTGCAGCGATATTCCAAAGTTGTTCTATCCTTCAACCAATTTGTAGAGTTGTGTTCTATCTTACAGCCACACTGTAGAGTTGTATTCTTTCTTACAACACATTTGTAGAGTTATGTTCTAGCTTACAACCAATTTTTATATTTGTATTGCATGTTTCAGCAAATTTGTACAGTTGTGTTCCACCTTACAGCCAATGTGTATAATTGTATTCAACAACGCTTTTAAAAGAGAAGGCAGCTGCATATTCTGCAAATGCAAAGTTGAATTTTCAGCGTTAGTTCCAGACAGACATACAACGGGAATAATAGTATTAGAATTGTCAAAGCATTGCCGTGTGGACTCCACATTTAGTCATTCCTACTCTGAATCAGTCGCCGCCTTTGAACAGCTGTGCTTGGCGAATTGGTGCATTATGCACCGACATGTCGAAACAGAATTGTTGATATGAAAATATGTTTTCACCTATTTAAGTCCTGCGTGTGGCTGAACTGTGTGAAGGTGAATTTCGCGGGGGGGATTAAGTCTGTGTTTTGGAAACTTCTTTTGGGGATAGACAAAATCAGAAGATGTAATTAATTGTTTCATTTATGTGTTCATCTTTTTTTACATTGCGGAATTAATAGTAGAGCAGATAATATTAGGAGGGAAAAATAATTATAAAATGAAATAATTACAATAATCACTGATTTCTCCAAAAACTCTGCAAGCGTCCACGAGTCTATAAGCCAAGCATTTACTTTTACATGATCAGAAAAGTAGCGGTGTCAGAAAGACAGCCAGTACCAATACAGCACTTTGTAAAAGACTATATCAGGAGTAAATAAAAAATAATGTGAACTTACGTTCAGCTGGATATGACGTTGATTGAAATGTGTTCCATTTATGGCCTCTAAAATCTGGTGACGTCAGGCGTTTATGAGTTTTAAATATAGTTCACTTGGGAAAATGAGTTTAAAAGAAACTTTTATGGACAATATCAGCTTACAGGCAGATGTAGTGTGATGGGTATGGTAATATCTGCTTACACTTTCAGATACCTGTAGTTTAATGGCCATGATAGTATCTGCTTACAGATAGCCGTAGTGTGATGGGCATGATAATATCTGCTCACAGATAGCTGTAGTGTGATGGGCATGATAATATCTGCTTACAGATAGCCGTAGTGTGATGGGCATGATAATATCTGCTCACAGATAGCTGTAGTGTGATGGGCATGATAATATCTGCTTACAGATAGCTGTAGTGTAATGGGCATGATAAAATCTGCTCACAGATAGCTGTAGTGTGATGGGCATGATAATATCTGCTTACAGATAGCTGTAGTGTAATGGGCATGATAATATCTGCTCACAGATAGCCGTAGTGTGATGGGCATGATAGTATCTGCTCACAGATAGCTGTAGTGTAATGGGCATGATAATATCTGCTCACAGATAGCTGTAGTGTGATGGGCATGATAATATCTGCTCACAGATAGCTGTAGTGTGATGGGCATGATAATATCTGCTCACAGATAGCTGTAGTGTGATGGGCATGATAATATCTGCTCACAGATAGCTGTAGTGTGATGGGCATGATAATATCTGCTCACAGATAGCTGTAGTGTGATGGGCATGATAATATCTGCTCACAGATAGCTGTAGTGTGATGGGCATGATAATATCTGCTCACAGATAGCTGTAGTGTGATGGGCATGATAAAATCTGCTTACAGATAGCTGTAGTGTGATGGGCATGATAAAATCTGCTTACAGATAGCTGTAGTGTGATGGGCATGATAATATCTGCTCACAGATAGCTGTAGTGTGATGGGCATGATAAAATCTGCTTACAGATAGCTGTAGTGTGATGGGCATGATAAAATCTGCTTACAGATAGCTGTAGTGTGATGGGCATGATAATATCTGCTCACAGATAGCTGTAGTGTGATGGGCATGATAAAATCTGCTTACAGATAGCTGTAGTGTGATGGGCATGATAAAATCTGCTTACAGATAGCTGTAGTGTGATGGGCATGATAATATCTGCTCACAGATAGCTGTAGTGTGATGGGCATGATAAAATCTGCTCACATATAGCTGTAGTGTGATGGGCATGATTATTACTAAGGCGATACTTTTATGCTTTGTAAAATTACGTTTGGATTTATTCAAAACTGTTTATTAAAAATTGAATTTTAATACGATCCAAAAATTAATGCTGGATATTTCCAATCAGCTGTTTCAGGTGCCAAGGTGATGATTGAGATCTCGACGAGATGGTGAGTTTGAGTCGGTTATTCTCATCTTATCTAAAACACCTAGTGCACTTTAGTCACATGATCGCATTCAATGTTTGTATACGCTTTCGCGAGGGTAAGATGGCGGCGCTGCGCACAGAAATAATATTATGTGCACTGATTTAACGAGACATTCAACAGTGGACTGGCAAGATGACGCTGTGTGGATGGCTGACGTTATTTGATGTACTGTGGATGACTGTTTTCATGTGATGACATTGTGGATTGGTGACTTTGTCTGATATAATGTTGAGTGATGACTTTGTCTGATAGAGTGTGGATTACTGACTTTGTATGATATAATTTGGATTGCTGACTTCGTGTAGCTTAAAATGGATGAATGCTACCACGTGATGTAATGTGGATGACTGACTGCATGTGATATAATGTGGAGGACAGATTAAAATCAAAATTTAAGTGTTTGGACTTAGCTGGTGTAAGACTCCATTACGATGACTGCAGATATCAAAGCCTATCATCAGGCTATTTTTTTTTTCTTCTTTTCTTGATCTGTATTTGAAGGTTGCAGTAAATAAAGATTCAAAGGCTACCACTTGCAAAAATTTATAGTTATGAGCTTCGACTGAGAGAGAACATCCGCCCAAGCCCCCAGTGTGTAAAAATCAAATCCTAACATAATTTTACCTTTCCAGGCTGACGAAAGCACACAGACATCTACTTGGTTACTCAATGTAGAGGATGTAACCAAGGGAAACAATCAACAAGGAAAGAAAGATAACTCTGAGGCTATCTCACGACCATGGAACAGTAAGTTAACAGTTTTCAAAAACGAATTTCTTTGTGGAATAGTAATGTGCATTCACACCAGTTCATTTATGTGTAAGGTCTAAGAGGCGCAAGCCGTGTGACATCACTTGACCTAACTCTCGTCCCCAGAGCTCCACCCCGCACAGAAGCTGATGCGTCTGCTGAGCATCCTGATGAAGTGTCTTCTCCTCATGTCCATCCTCTACTTCTTCGTGTGCTCCCTGGGGCTGATGGAGGACTCGTTTCAACTCTTGGGAGGTAGGTGCAGTTTACGGCTGATCAAATCGTTTTATAAACAATGGTGTGCGTGTGTGTGTGTGAGGGGGGGGGGCGGTGTAATACTTTTTAAAAAAAATTTATTTCAAGTGTGACGTATCAAATAATTTAGCTCGACCAGTGGGGGTATGTTGCTTGGTGAGCTCTGGCTCGATCGTTTGCTGTTTTTATTAAGAGAGTTAGTTAGTTCGATCGTCCATATAATGAAATTACATTAATTTTATTGTGGGTGTTGTCAAACAAAAACTAGTGAGATAACGTCGGCTACCCGTTACATCCCATTCATTGGTGTGAGTTATTGCACAACAACAACTTTGGAACCCTCAGGTAGAGCAGCAGGCGAGACGTTCCGAAACAGCGATGTATTGAGTAACCCCATAGCTGGCCTCATGATCGGTGTGCTGGCCACGGTCCTGGTGCAGAGCTCTTCAACTGCTACGTCCATCGTGGTAGCCATGGTTGCTTCTGAAGGTAGGAGATGTGCGAGAGCATGTGTGTGAAGTGAGAAAGCATGTGTGTCTGACTCTTCAACTGCTACGTCCATCGTGGTAGCCATGGTTGCTTCTGAAGGTAGGAGATGTGCGAGAGCATGTGTGTGAAGTGAGAAAGCATGTGTCTGATGTGATACAGCATTTGTGTAATGTGAGACAGCCTTTTTTTTTTTAAGAATATCTCCTCGACTGCCGACTTGATAACCTTAACATGTGGATAAAGTTTGAGCCATCCAAGCACGGCCAAGCATTTTCGATTCTGCTCTCGTTGTCAGGACATCCTTCTGGGTGCTAAAGTTCAAGGTTTGGGGGTATTCAAGGCCACGTCTGCAAGGCTAAACGAGTGGTAAAGGTCACCGTAAAAACATTTTCCCCCTCGCATTTACCTCGCAAATATCTATTTGGTTGTCATTTCTAATTAATAGGGTGACTTCCTTCCCCAGTCATTCCGATTCGTGCGGCCATTCCTGTCATCATGGGCACCAATGTTGGAACCTCTGTAACAAGCACCCTTGTCTCGCTGGCCCAGGCTGGCGACAGAACGGAGTTTCGGCGAGCGTTTGCCGGTGCCACGGTAAGTGAATGCAGCGCATAATTACGATTAAGCTCGTCTGCAACCAAGTGACCCCGATACTGAGACAAAATAAAACATACATCTTTGTCTATATTTAAACAAACTTATAAATGTTTTTAAAGAGAATCATAACACATGCTACGTACACGGAAAGTTTTGAGGCACGCCTAAAGCCCGAATTAAAATGTGTTTGTCACGCGGGGCTGTCTCACCTTGGGAAATTTCCCAAGATATTGGGAATTCACTATCCTATTCAGGGCCAAAACTCAATTTTGTTTTTTAAATTCCCAAGATCCTTTGAAAAAACTCTTATATATTTTCATGATCTTCAGACATCTTGGGAAATGTTTTGACCAAATCTTCGGAATTAAAAAAAAAATGAGTGGCAGCCCTGTTGTCACGACATTTTCAGTGTTCATTTAAATATAGGTCTTTGCGTAGCTAGGGTCGGTGTAATGTCATCCGGGGCAGTCCGCAACCCCCCTCCCCCCCCCCCTCCGTCACCCACCTCGCTACGCCACTGCTATAGTTTGTGTAGTAGAAGACGTCACTGAAATAAGTTAAGGAAAATATTAATGATCATCTTGAAAAATCTTCTTCCCAAAACTCCCAAACACACTCTCTCCCCCCCCCCACCTCCACTCCAACCTCCAACACTCCCTCACAACCTACAGGTTCACGATATGTTCAACTGGAGTGCTGTCCTCGTGCTGCTACCGCTGGAGATAGCCACCAGCTACCTCTACTACCTGACCAAGGCCATTGTTCAGATGATGAACGTCCACACTGAGAACTACAAGATCGAGCTCCTCACGGCCATCACGAAGCCATTCACGGAGCTCATCGTGGAGGTTCGTGCGCAGCAACATTAGATTTGCGCTCTTTAATAAGACATTAGATTTGCGCTCTTTAATAAAACATTAGATTTGCGCTCTTTAATACAATTGCTTGGGTGTGTAATAAAACTTCAAATGGTCGGACTTTGACAGCAAAGTTAATCACATTATTCATGATAAATGAGAATCCAATAAAATGTGTTATACACAGCAATGATGTTATCATTAAAAGAGATGAGGACTATTACAAGTTACATAATTAATTTGTCTGTATCCACAAGTCCAGGGTCGGATTTCCCATATTGCCAAATAAAGGTCATGACCTAGGTCGCAGCAGTCAGGGGCGCATATACAGAAGAAACGACAACCAAATGTTTACAAAATTGTCAGTGTTATTTTGAAAAAGACATTTTAAAATGTTGTGGTAGTGTAGCTTTGTACTGTCCGTTATTTTGAAAAGGACATTTTAAAATGCTGTAGTAGTGTAGCTTTGTACTGTCCGTTATTTTGAAAAGGACATTTTAAAATGCTGTAGTAGTGTAGCTTTGTACTGTCCGTTATTTTTAAAAGGACATTTTAAAATGCTGTAGTAGTGTAGCTTTGTACTGTCCGTTATTTTGAAAAGGACATTTTAAAATGCTGTGGTAGTGTAGCTTTGTACTGTCCGTTATTTTGAAAAGGACATTTTAAAATGTTGTAGTAGTGTAGATTGGTAGTGTAGCGTAGTTACTACGATGTTACCTGGCACAGCCCAGCAGATGGAGCTGGCTGCCAATGTACTAGCCGGCACAGCCCAGCAGATGGAGCTGGTTGCCAATGTACTAGCCGGCACAGCCCAGCAGATGGAGCTGGTTGCCAATGTACTAGCCGGCACAGCCCAGCAGATGGAGCTGCAACGGTTACATGATCGGCCGTGTCGGGTCGTCTACCTCGACCAAGCCAATGTACTAGCCGGCACAGCCCAGCAGATGGAGCTGGTTGCCAATGTACTAGCCGGCACAGCCCAGCAGATGGAGCTGGCTGCCAATGTACTAGCCGGCACAGCCCAGCAGATGGAGCTGGCTGCCAATGTACTAGCCGGCACAGCCCAGCAGTTGGAGCTGGCTGCCAATGTACTAGCCGGCACAGCCCAGCAGATGGAGCTGGCTGCCAATGTACTAGCCGGCACAGCCCAGCAGATGGAGCTGGCTGCCAATGTACTAGCCGGCACAGCCCAGCAGATGGAGCTGGCTGCCAATGTACTAGTTGGGGGTTTTAAGAGCTTAAGCTCAACCCCCGCCATTATATGTGTGTTAGTTAGTAGTGTCAATTTTAATTCAAAATGTAGGCCCTAATGTGTCTAAAGATTATAAAGAACTTATTAAGTGATTAATGTTTTTTTTTAAATAAACAATTGCATATTAAATAGGAAACTATAGATAAACTTCTTGAGGAGGGTGCGCAGAATAGTGTGCCTTGGCTAGGGGCGCTGAAATGTGTAAATCCGACCCAGCACAAGTCATTTGACATCATAATTATAATCTAAAAGTCTTAAGATTAATACAGAAACACCTCACACATGTCCCTGCACCAGTTTTATGACATCATAATTATAACCTAAAAGTATAAAGATTATACCAGAAACATCTCACACATGTCCCTTCACCAGTTCTATGACATCATAATTTTAACCTAAAAGTATTATGATTATACCTGATACATCTGACACAACCTCCACAGATTAACCGTGAAATTATCACAGACATCGCCATGGACCCCAACGTCACCCAAGAGTCGTCGGTGATGAAGCGCTGGTGTCAGGTGACCATCGTGGAGAAGACGGTGTCCGTCATGCGCTACAACCCGGTGCTGGTGGACTGCAGCCAGGTGCACAGAGACTCGCCTTTCTACGCCAGCTGCACCAACATCGGCAACACGGGGAGGCCTGGGGTCCCCAACATTGTGGGTCTCTACATGGGATGGAACGACACGGAGGTCGTCAATACGACACTGCACCGTACACGATGTGAGAACCACTCGTTTTTCCTCTATTTTTTTTTTTTAATTTGTAGCCTCATTTTAAATTCCATGTTAGTTCGTCCGTCAAAAATCGATGATCACCATATTAATTTCAACATTTGATTGGCACTGGGGCATTTGATGTACAGATGGCTGGTGAGGCACTTGGGCTGAATCTGGCAGAAGATGTGCAGATGGCTGGTGAGGCACTTGGGCTGAATCTGGCAGAAGATGTGCAGATGGCTGGTGAGGCACTTGGGCTGAATCTGGCAGTTGATGTGCAGATGGCTGGTGAGGCACTTGGGCTGAATCTGGCAGTTGATGTGCAGATGGCTGGTGAGGCACTTGGGCTGAATCTGGCAGTTGGTGTGCAGATGGCTTGTTAGGCACTTGGGCTGAATCTGGCAGAAGATGTGCAGATGGCTGGTGAGGCACTTGGGCTGAATCTGGCAGTAGATGTGCAGATGGCTGGTGAGGCACTGGGGCTGAATCTGGCAGTAGATGTGCAGATGGCTGGTGAGGCACTGGGGCTGAATCTGGCAGTAGATGTGCAGATGGCTGGTGAGGCACTGGGGCTGAATCTGGCAGTAGATGTGCAGATGGCTGGTGAGGCACTGGGGCTGAATCTGGCAGTAGATGTGCAGATGGCTGGTGAGGCACTGGGGCTGAATCTGGCAGTAGATGTGCAGATGGCTGGTGAGGCACTGGGGCTGAATCTGGCAGTAGATGTGCAGATGGCTGGTGAGGCACTGGGGCTGAATCTGGCAGTAGATGTGCAGATGGCTGGTGAGGCACTGGGGCTGAATCTGGCAGTAGATGTGCAGATGGCTGGTGAGGCACTGGGGCTGAATCTGGCAGTAGATGTGCAGATGGCTGGTGAGGCACTGGGGCTGAATCTGGCAGTAGATGTGCAGATGGCTGGTGAGGCACTGGGGCTGAATCTGGCAGTAGATGTGCAGATGGCTGGTGAGGCACTGGGGCTGAATCTGGCAGTAGATGTGCAGATGGCTGGTGAGGCACTGGGGCTGAATCTGGCAGTAGATGTGCAGATGGCTGGTGAGGCACTGGGGCTGAATCTGGCAGTAGATGTGCAGATGGCTGGTGAGGCACTGGGGCTGAATCTGGCAGTAGATGTGCAGATGGCTGGTGAGGCACTTGGGCTGAATCTGGCAGTAGATGTGCAGATGGATGGTGAGGCACTGGGGCTGAAGCTGGCAGTAGATGTGCAGATGGCTGGTGAGGCACTGGGGCTGAATCTTGCAGTAGATAAGCAGATGGCTGGTGAGACACTGGGGCTGAATCTGGCAGTAGATGTGCAGATGGCTGATGGGCCGAACTAGCATGAAATGTTCTTGTCCAGAAGGTTCATGGGATGGATGGGACAATACCGGTTGCAGTGTTGGTCCGGGCTTTTCTGACTTGTCTCTTGTGCTCTGCGGCAGCTGTTCTGTTTCTCTCATTTTGCAGGTAGACTTCGTGTAGGAGGAGGGGTTGCCTCTGTGGACTGTCCGCATGTATCCGTGCTTGTGTGAAAAACTTTCAATGTTGCTTTCAGGGTGTCGCTCTTATAACGTTGCTCCTGCCCCCCCCCCCCCAGCAAACCGCTTGCCATGTTGAGTGAGACATAAAGTATTTTTAGGACAAGTTGTCATCTGACACTGTCACAACATGTGTCGTCGTGCCCCCTGCCTCCCTCCCCCCTCCCCAATCACAAAAGATGCCTTGACTGCATTCGAAAGTTATATGTTTTGTGGAGTCCTGTTAAAGCGAGTACCTCCGTGTCTGGGATCATCTATATTTCTATCTTGACGGATATCCCTTTAAAACTTTTTTTTTTTTAAATGTATGAACAAAAATGATCTAGGTTTACTTCCCCTGAATTGCTTAGATCAGAAGTCCGCAGCCAGTGTTTTGTGGCTCTATAATTATATGATCTTAAGATGACATAATTCGGTGATAACACGGCACATAGTGTTCTCATAGGGGTTTTTCTTCCCCACTGTTTAAAAAAACACCGTTTGTGTTTGTGTAATTTTAATTTGTAATTCGGGATTAGGGGAGGGAGAGTTATTGGATAATTGAAAATGCAACACCTTCCAGGCTTAAATTATGATACGTCGGTGGAAGAGATAAAGAGACTACCTGAGAGGCTACGAAGCGTTGTTTTCTCAAAGACTAAACAAATTTGCCCCAGTCTAACATCCCTTTATCTTCTACCGACCCAGGTCACAGCCTCTTCGCCTTGAGTGACATCCCTGACAAGCCTGCGGGCGCCATCCTCCTCATCGTGTCCATTGTCATCATTCTGGCCTCGCTGTTCGGCATTGTCAAGATCCTCAACTCTTTACTGAAGGTATATATTACCGTGCGCGTCAATTTGTTCGGTCTCCTACCATGGGCGCCCGCAGCTAGGGGCAAGGTGGGGCACCTGGATTGATTGGATAAAAAATTTTTTAGACAAAAATAGACAAAAAATGTTTTAAAGTAAAGAGAAAATAAAGAGAAAGTAACTGAGCTGATGTCCTGTCCGTTCGTTCACTATACAAATACGCTACAGTAAATTATAACTACATTAAAACATTACTAAAAAAAAATTGCAACCCCCTGGAAAGTTAATCGATTTTTTTTTTCCCACCCCCCCCCTAGAAATTTTTCTGCGGGTGCCCATGTCTCCTACATATTTATCTGTAACGAAACATTTTGAGGTCCTTTTGAGATGCACAGCTGAGAGATGAGCAACTCTGGTAATATTTTAAGCTTTGGGGCTTCAACTCCAGCAATATATTACAAGGGCTTACCTTGAAGAGACCCCCAAGGGAAGATGTTTTCCAAGTGCTCTCACTTTGTTGATTCACATTTCGCAATTTGTACGTTGTATAGATTTGTGTATCACAAGCTCGATCCTATTGCTAATTATCATAGTTCAATACAAATAGATTTTAGGAATTGTGTAATACAACGAACAAATCTTGCCTGATTTAGTTGCAATGCAGACTAATTCTGTTGCTCAAGTTATTTCACATGTTTCATCCAGGGCTCTGTCGCTAAAGTCATCAACAAGACGATGAATGCCGACTTCCCTGGGAGACTCGCCTACTTCACTGGCTACGTGGCGCTGCTGGTGGGCTGCGGGATGACCATGCTCATCCAAAGCAGTTCTGTAAGTCGCGTGAGCTTTCATTTTTTCAGTGGTTTTATTAAACGTGCTCTGTTTATGTTTATACTGGTATGGTATGCCACATATCGGCCGTGCTCTGTTTATGTTTATAATGGTATGGTATGCCACATATCGGCCGTGCTCTGTTTATGTTTATACTGGTATGGTATGCCACATATCGGCCGTGCTCTGTTATGTTTATACTGGTATGGTATGCCACATATCGGCTATAAACACGAACAATACACACATAAAATAGCAAAAAAATATTCCTCTTTGAATTTCCGCCTTGTTGCCTACTAAATCTTCCAGAACCCATTTTCCGTTTTCCCCATGTTGTGTCTGTTTTTTTTTCCCCCACAATTTTAACATCTCCCATATCTTCTCATCCCCAGGTGTTTACCTCCACCCTGACCCCTTTAGTTGGCGTGGGCATCGTGTCCATCGACCGCATGTACCCAATGACCCTGGGCTCCAACATCGGCACGACCGTGACCGGCATCCTGGCCGCCATGTCCATCCGTGGTCAGTTCGTGGCCCAGGCCCTGCAGATCGCCCTCTGCCATCTTTTCTTCAACATCTCGGCCGTGCTCATCTTCTACCCGGTCCCGTTCATGCGCATCCCGATCCCCATGGCCAAAACGCTGGGGCGCATCACGTCAAAGTACCGCTGGTTCGCCGGCGTCTACCTGTTCGGCATGTTCCTGATCATCCCGAGCGTGACCTTTGCCCTCTCCTACGCCGGATGGATCTACCTTGTGGCGGTGGGCGGGCCCATATTTCTGGTGTTTCTGGCGGCGACTGTTGTGAACGTGTTGCAGGCCACGCGTCCTAACTGGCTGCCGCGGCGGCTGCGCACGTGGGACTTCCTGCCCAAGGTTTTGCACTCGTGCGCACCTTATGACGCTGTGATTACTTGCCGCATCATAACCAGGAGATGTCCGAATGAAGACGACGGCAGTGACGTAGAAGATAATAAGAAAGAACTTGTAAACGGAGAAAATAAAAACTACTTAGTGGAGAGACTGTGATGATCCCACCCGGCAGGAACACTGTGTACAGTATGATGAACTAAATGCCCTTGTAGTCAGGAGATAAAGGCGGTGTGTTTGTTGGTGTGTCAGGAAAGGTTTACGTTTCAAAGCTCCCTCCCTTGTTATTTCCACATCCATGTTACAAATCTATATCATCTGGTGCCTCGCGTTATGGTGGCATATAGCCAGCCTCACGTTATATTGGGCATAGCCAGCCGCACATTGGACGACCCTTTCACAGGGGTCGCCTAAGACCATCGGAAAACACATATACTCTACAGTTATGAAGTGGCAACGAAAATAATTTTATGACTGAGGGGTCGCCATAACATGAGGAACTGTTTAAAGGGTCGTGGAATTAGGAAAGTTGAGAACCACTGTATGAAAGGATTGCCAGTGATCTTTGGGCATCAATTTAAGAATACCTGCTTTAAGTAATACTATAACATTATCATAAATGTAGATGGAGTGTGAGTCTTCATAAAGTTATGACAGTTAACATACAAATACAAAGAATTTATAATTTATAGAGATCGAGAGTCATAGAGCTAAGACAGTTACATAAAAGACTTTATAAAGCTATGACAGTTACATACAAAGGCTTTATAGAGCTAAGACAGTTACATAAAAGACTTTATAAAGCTATGACAGTTACATACAAAGAATTCATCAGGCTAAGACAGTTACAAAGAAGACTTTATAAAGCTATGACAGTTACACACAAAGGCTTTATAGAGCTAAGACAGTTACATAAAAGACTTTATAAAGCTATGACAGTTACATACAAAGAATTCATCAGGCTCAGACAGTTACAAAGAAGACTTTATAAAGCTATGACAGTTACATATAAAGACTTCATACAGTTATGACAGTTACATACAAGATTTCATAAAACTATGACAGTTACATACAAAGATTTCATAAAACTATGACAGTTACATACAAAAACTTCATAGAGCTAAGACAGTTACATACAAAATAAAGACTTCAAAGTCCACATATTACTTGCGATTTTATTTGATCTTTCATTTGATCTTTGACAGCCATGAGATCAGTTAAAATTCATGAAAATATTTTTAAATTAAACCATGAATTTTTTTTTGTTACGAAACACATGCAAGAAACACATGCCATCCGCATCAAGTGGATTTCAACTTAAGACTCAAAGAGTTTCCATGAAGATCTGAGTGACAGCAACGCTATTCTATTATAGCAAGACAATGTCATTATCTGATTTCAGCACAGTGTTTGTTCAGTCGCTTATCATACTAGATGTTTATTCTAACTTGAAACACCACCAGTAACTGGAGGCGCACCCCACAATTCTTTTGTTTACCAAACTATGCAGGAGTGAACTTGTCCCACAAGGACCGGGGATTTTTCCTAGAAATTCACTACAGAAAAGTATCATCAAAAATCTAATTCTTTTCTTTGTCAAAATAAGATCCTTTTATTTTATCCCGTGCATTGTGTTTACTGATAAAATATCCAACAGACAAAATTTTAAATATCTATATTTGAGTTTACCCTTTTGCAATATGGGCTTTAACCAATGGATCGAAGAGAAAAATTATGAGACGGGAAAACTATGTTCAATCTCTTACAATAAGCGTTTACTTTAATCAATATTTCCTGTACACGCATACACATAAACATAGTAAACTTAAAGAATAAAGTGTTTTTAAAATGACTCTTTGCAACTCAGATTAAGATTGATTATTCTTAAAATGTACAGAATAAATGATTACAGGAAATGTGTACGAAAGAAACTTGTTGGACCAAAAACTGTTTGACGGAATTAGTTCGAACGTAAGTTTGTTCAAAATGAAATAATTGGGGGGGGAGAGAGACAACGCAAAATAAATTTTAATGAACACATTTTTCTATTTCCCTGAAAAAAAATTTTTTTAAAATAAATCTCTGTTTAACAAATTTCATTTTGAACCAAATTCGGTTTCAACGAAGTTCTGTCAAACAATTTTAAATTCTAACAAATCTCTCTCAAAACCAATAAGGAGATAATGAGAAACAAAAAATATTTTGAAATATTTCAAACTAAAATTAACGGCAGACACTATCACATTAGCATAAAAAGAGAGTATAAAATTAAATATTAACATGTGAAAAAATAAGATGTTTACACTGTGTAAAATTCACAACAATCAAACTTGTAAAAAAATGGCAAGATGTATCACAAACAACAGAAGTTGGTTTCGGGTAAATTCAAGATTGAATCACAAAAATATCAGCTAACAAAATATAAACCAAAAAAAAAAAAGCTAAAACAAATCAAATAATTGTATAAATACAGGTTTAAATATAAGGATGATGGATATGGACGCAAAGGCATCACCCATCTAAAACTGTGATTTCATTTGTGGTGCTCTGTAACGTCAACGGGATCTGATCTCACAGCACAACTAAACAAGTCCAGAGCGTTGCATACATCAGAGGCTACATTTACTTGTTTTCCTCAGGATGCAGTCCAGTCAGTCCATGGCCCTAGGGGCACTGTCCAGTCAGTCCATGGCCCTAGGGGCGCAGTCCAGTCAGTCCATGGCCCTAGGGGCGCAGTCCAGTCAGTCCATGGCCCTAGGGGCGCAGTCCAGTCAGTCCATGGCCCTAGGGGTGCAGTCCAGTCAGTCCATGGCCCTAGGGGCGCAGTCCAGTCAGTCCATGGCCCTAGGGGCGCAGTCCAGTCAGTCCATGGCCCTAGTGGCGCAGTCCAGTCAGTCCATGGCCCTAGTGGCGCAGTCCAGTCAGTCCACGGCCCTAGGGGCGCAGTCCAGTCAGTCCACGGCCCTAGGGGCGCAGTCCAGTCAGTCAATGGCCCTAGGGGCGCAGTCCAGTCAGTCCATGGCCCTAGGGGCGCAGTCCAGTCAGTCCATGGCCCTAGTGGCGCAGTCCAGTCAGTCCATGGCCCTAGGGGCGCAGTCCAGTCAGTCCATGGCCCTAGGGGCGCAGTCCAGTCAGTCCATGGCCCTAGGGGCACAGTCCAGTCAGTCCATGGCCCTAGTGGCACAGTCCAGTCAGTCCATGGCCCTAGTGGCACAGTCCAGTCAGTCCATGGCTCTAGTGGCGCAGTCCAGTCAGTCCACGGCCCTAGGGGCACTGTGCTGATTACAATCAATCTATTCATGAACCATTTAGAGCTTGTGCTAGTGTCAGGGACTGAAAATGAGAGCAGAGCACGGAGCAAGGTGTTTATTTAACCCTAGAGCTGGAGCAAAGCACTCAAAAATAGCGTGCTCATTAGAAAAATCAGGTTGTCCTATTAAAAGTGTCGCTGCGATGAAGACAAGAAACATTGGTGTTAGAGTCTTCAATCAATGAACATCAATCGACTGCTTAGTACAAGCCCCAGGTTGGTTCATGGTTGAATCATATTTTTTTATCACAGTATGTTGTGGAGCAAATGATGCACAATAATGCATTAAAACAAGGTGGTCATGAGCAGCAATAAATGATGCACAGTAACGCATTAAAACAAGGTGGTCATGAGCAGCAATAAATGATGCACAATAACGCATTAAATCAAGGTGGTCATGAGCAGCAATAAAGGATGCACAATAACGCATTAAAACAAGGTGGTCATGAGCAGCAATAAAGGGGGAAATAAAGAGAAATACTTACAAATGCAAAATTAACAACAGAATTTGAAAGAACAGAAACAAAGATGGAAAATGAATAGTGTGATGTTAAGAAAATGTGTGTAAAATATGATAATATTAGAATTAGACCAAAAGCAGACCTGTTTACTCTTACGATTTTGGCGTACAATGTACAATTTTGAGGTGTATACATTATAGATACTGCATCTTTATTTTTTTACTATCAAGATAATGTATTGAACGATTTTGTGATGATATTGTACGATTTTGAGAGTTTTGGGGTAAACAGGTCTGCAAAAGGAATAAAACTTTTAAACGTTTTTTAAAATAACTACAATCATTTTCATCACTGGCAAAGAGTCCTCTCCTCTTTACTCTCTTCAAGCTCACTTAATTATATACTGTTCCCTTGTCTCCTCAATGTTTCCAGAATTTCTGCCTTCCCCAAACCTTCTTTAGAACATTGAAAGGATATGCACAGGTTTTCTGTTTTCATTGACACTTTCTATGTTTAAAAGCTTTGGTTTAACAAATACTGATATGAAAAAAAAACAACACAATCTTATCACAAGTTTGTAAACTTACAGTAAAGCTTTGTTACCTAAAAGTAAATGTTCACTAAATGCACAACTTAATGAATTTACTCATGTGAGTAAAAAATGCAAACCTGATTATAAAATTTTAAAAGATCCATTACATTACAAAACAGGCAGCAAGAATTTAAAATACATGTATGACTTGATAATTCATCCTTTGATAATTGTAAGGTGTCTGTGACAGAGAATTTATTGCAATTAATGAATGTAAATAATAATGACTATGGTGCGATTCAAAATATCAAATCGATAAGTTTTCAACAAAGCCATCAGATTAGAATAATAAATCAGATTTTTTAAAAAATCATTTCAAATAAGATTTAACAGCTGGCGTAAAATAAAACCTTTCTATAAAAATGTATATATTTAATCACTTGGCATTCATAACATCAAGTAAACAAAAGGAAAGAAAAATAATACTAATTTTAAAAACTCTTTAAGTGATTAATGAGTAATGTACGCCTATGTATGAGTAATGTAGGCCCATGTATGATGAATGAGTAGTGTAGGCCCATGTATGATGAATGAGCAATGTACGCATATGTATTGCCCCCAATGGTTAACCAAAAAAACAAATGTTTCTTTTGGTGCGTTTAGTGTTATCAATATTAATTTGTTATGATGGTACTGATGACCATATGCACAGGTCGGTCGGCCGATGGCTTGGCGTTACCACAACCAGCTTTGTTAATTCTCATTAACAGATTTAATAACTTGTATTATTCATTGCAAGTAAAAAAAAATAAAAAAATAGTTTTATTTTACCAGGTATCCAATGCTGAAGTGAACATAGTAGCTCAAATGTCTTCATTCTCCAAATTAAAATCAATGTAAAATATTGAAGACAAAAAAAGATTATCAGTTAGAGGACCATTAGCTCTAACTCTAATTAGAAATTGTGAAGAAAAAAAAATGTCCTCTTTCTTCTTGTTCACATAAGTGCCAATAAGTGTCAATTATATTTTGTCTTAAAAAATTATTTTGCAAGCATAAATCCTGCAATTTCCCGCATGAAGTTTAATGCAGAAAATAAATCAATTTGAGTTTCCCAGTAAGACAATGTCATTTCTTCAGTAGTCTTATAACAATAAGCCAAACAAAAATAGGAGCAACATTTTTTCTAAGCACTAAAAATGAGTTAGAAAATAAATATGCATGAAAAACATTTCTTATAAAACAAATAAAACCAAGGATAAGACTTGAAAATCACAGTTTAACAATGTAAGATGAACTTAAATTAATGGAACAATGACTTCGCAAGCCAAACTTTAGTACACCTGATACTACACCTGATAGTTAACACAATCTCTAGAGTTGATAATAAAGTTTTTTGAGCATGATTATAAATAACAAATCATCAACATTTCCACTATACAAAAAATTCAAACAAAAAAACTATGCATGAATTATTTCAATTTTCTATCAAGTCGACATCATTCCAATACCTAATTTATCCAATGGGAAACATGATAGAAAAATAAGGACCCTGTCACAGTTAATGTTTATTCTAACAAAGGGCCAAATGTAATAGTAATTTTTTTAAATTCATTAAATTTTAATATTGAATTACATTAATTAGAACATCAGAATGTATTTTAGATGCGTATGATACATAAATTTATTTATTTTTCTATCTGTCAATATCAAGTAGAGATGGGCAATGGCCATTTGACAATGAATCGCCCACCGTTTCTTTCTGCTCAAACAAAATAAAAGTAATACAACGCCATTAATTCATGAACAAATAAATGTTTAAATCTTGCTGTAAATTGTCAAATTTTTTAAACCTTTGAACTATGATGTTATTTTTTTTTTAAGGCAAAGTAAAATAATCCATTTCTTTTTTTTCATTTTTAATAAATTTAATGTAAATTTAAATAAAGTATTTAGGTTTATCCAAATATTTAATTTTATAGACTCTAGCTCTTCTAGCCACACAAAAATAAAAGGAGTTAAGTCAAGGCTGAAATCAACTCAAGAAAAAATCCCCAAATATCCATGTAAAAATCAGTAAAATTCTAACTCACAATTACAGTGTGCTTTTTGAAACACAGATATAGAACAGGCAGTGTGGGTAAGTCCTCAACCTAAAGGTCGATTTCATCCTCTTCAATGAGTTTTCTGCGTTGATAGAGTCTGTACTGAATTTTCCACTTTCTGTAACTCATAAATGCTGTGAGTCCATTTAGCAACATACATATATAGCCTAGAATCTGGGGAAAAAAAATAACAGATCAAATAGTAACAATGTCCTTAGTATTCCTTTACATTTACATGTAACATTTTTACTAGTACTGCATTCATAAAAAGTTTTTTTTACTTTTCCTAACACATCCAAAGGACAATATAAATTAGGAACAAGACAAATTCATGAATACTCTCCCTTTTTATGGGCATGAAATCTAACTTGTTTACTTCCTGCCTAAATGGAAAAAAACTATAATTTTTACTTATAAATAGCTTGTATAAAAGTCTGATTGTTATCAACATTTTAGTTTTTACATTACTCAATGGACAATATTGGACGAATGATAAATTTGATAACAATTTAGAAGTAATTAGTAATTCATCTGTTAATTTTGCCAGATGTAGCAATTCAGACTCAAGTATTTAAATCAGGGGTCTCAAACTCGCGGCCCGCAAGACGATATTTTGCGGCCTGCTACATGACAGCAAAGTTTAGTGTTAAAGTGGCCCCCCGCGTTTTCCCCATTCTATCTATGATGTGAACCTCCGCGACGGTTTTAGCCGAATCTCACAGACTAGTCTAATTCTCATTTTATTATGTTTGTATAGGTTTGGATGTTGATTATAATAATACAACAAATTTTAAAATCAGACTAAAAGTTTTTATCTTATAGCATTTTATGAGACAAACATGGCCAAAGTGGGGTTTTGAGAAAAATTTTAAAAAGTCATTTAGTGGGTAATGCACAACCACAATTTTGTAAATCGTAGCAGTCTGAATCCCTATTAAAATTGCTGCTAGTGTTTACACGTGAGCGAAATTCCGAGCCTGTCAGCCTAGTCACTTTCAAAATAGGGGTAATAAGGGGAGAGACTGCAATCAGGTTAGTACAAAATAAAATGAGTAAAACAGAGTAGGGTTAAACCTGAAAAAATAAACGCAACAAAACAGCGAACGTGTCGGCAGAAAGCCTTCGTCAGCGAACAAAACAACAGAAAAAACATTAATCAGGTTAGTACAAAATAAAATGAGTAAAACAGAGTAGGGTTAAACCTGAAAAAATAAACGCAACAAAACAGCGAACGTGTCGGCAGAAAGCCTTCGTCAGCGAACAAAACAACAGAAAAAACATTAAATAAGAAATAGCACTTAGCTGGTAAGTAGTATCTGTGGGCAGCAATAGAAGTGTTGCCCACAGATACTACTTACCAGCTAAGTGCTATTTCTTATTTTTATAACGTTTTTTCTGTTGTTTTGTTCGCTGGCGAAGGCTTTCTGCCGACACGTTCGCTGTTTTGTTGCGTTTATTTTTTCAGGTTTAACCCTACTCTGTTTTACTCATTTCACTTTCAAAATAGGGATAGGCCTTTTATACAATAAAAAAAATCAAAATTCATTCTCCCTACAACTACAATAGCATCTTCCTTCACATCAATAATTCATAAATATTGCCTGCTCCTGCCTACTGTTTGATTTTCCTTTCAGTCTTCAAAGCCTTGATGGAGAAGGATGGGGTGGCTGTTCCTGTATTAAGTGATCCTGAATGGCTCATGGACTTAGTTTTTCTTGTTGACATTACACAGGGGCTGATGATTTACTCAAAAAGAAGTTACAAGACCAGGGGCAGCTTGTCAGTGTTGCCAATGACAATGTCAGGGCATTCTGCACAAAACTTGTGTTAAGGTTCTCAGAGAAACCTCTGCCATTTCCCAACATGCAAAGTATTCAAGGACTCGGGCACACCATTCAGTAGTAAGTAAACTGCTGCCATTGCAAAGCTACAAGAAGAATTTGATCACATATTTTTAGACTTCAAAACAGACAGGGTCACTTTTCAACTTTTTGATGACCATTTCTCCTTCAATGTGGAAGATGCCCCCACCCCATTTGCGCTTTAAATGGAGCTAATTGATCGACAGAGCAATTCTGTACTCAAGACTAAGTCAGGGGGGTGAATGGAGAAACAGAAAAGCATGGACAATTTATGAGAGCATTGCCTTCCACCTTCCCTGAGATTTCGTTGCTCAGCGGATCATGTGCCTTTTTGGGAGTACCTAGCTGTGTAAAAATCTCTTTTCCGCTATGAACTTTAACAAGTCAAAATTCAGGGCCAAACTTACCGATGAGCATTTTTAAGATATGCTGAGGGTCTCAGTTGCTTCCTTATTCAAGTCAAATGGGCAACAAGGAGTTGGAGGAAGAAAGTGAAGCCTAGTTCTTAAGAACCCTTAATGTTTTTATTTGTTATTAATAAAGCTTGTACTTTATGGAATCTGTAATCGCTTTTTTGTGGAATACTTGGTGCGGCCCAGTCTCACTCAGACTCTACCTCCTGCGGCCCCCGAATGATTTGAGTTTGAGACCCCTGATTTAAATCAACAAAGTGAAATCCATATCATTGGACTTAACAAAGTCAGTGAGTTTACTTTCTTATAACCTTATGTTTGACCATTGGGGGGGGGGGGGGGGTGTGACGACATGTGGATAGAAGGGATTTTATATTCTATGAACTATATGGATATATATAAAGTGTTAATGCAGTTGGTGGGTTGACAAGTTATGAACAAATTTTTTTAAAAACTGTATCAAAGGATGCACCATGGCTGAAGGCAGCCCTTGATTTAAGACAGTACCAATTGGTTGATCATGGGTTGAAACACCAGCTATTAATGTATATATAAATATAGTGGTATTATAACTAGTATGGAGATCCCATGTATGTCATTCCTCCAGGTCAAAAGTTTATCAGGTAGTAAATCAGAACTTCCTGCATAAGGCTATTTTTATCATAATAAGAATACTATGTTCTGTATATATTTTTTATTATTATCTGACATAAATATTGAATTAATAAATGTCAAAAACATTTTGAAATGTATTTCTCTGATGCTAATGACCCACCACTGATGTGACAAGCTGATTTATTGTATCTTTAGTAACATCTGTTTTCATCTTTTCGTAAAAGTCGAAAGCACTGGCAACAAGGGAAGATCCAACAAGATACAGGAAGGCAAACAAGGAGTAGACGATCATATCCTGTAAATAAACAAATGGTTTATTAAAACGCAATTGTACATTCATCTACTTATTTATTATAAGAGGCTAAAAGATTTTTAGGCTAAAATTTAATAATTCGATTTTAAGATTATATATTTAAAATGACATAACACTCTAGCCTTAGACTAGTAGAGGGCTTTTTTTTCAATCTACTTTCTGTGATTATACACCTTGGCAGGTTACTTTTAACTGATTTCTAAACAATATTGGTCAAACATTTCTGTCATAATATTTTCTAAAGAGAAAGTAATTCCATTGATGATTTAGAAAAACATAGTCCGTCATGAAGTATATAATGTAAGGGCTATGAATAAATCAATTTGCAACAAAAGCTTTTATGAATAAAAAATACTTACGAAAAATGTCCACTCAAATCCAAATATTGAAATCAGTGAAGTCAGATTGCCAAAGAGAAGTGCTACTGTAACTAGAAGTGTAAGTATCAGAACAAAAAGCATAATGCGAAAATGCCAGCTAAGAGGCAGGTTGAGGAGTCCACCTTCTTGACCACCAGCACTGACCAGACACACAAGTGCAGCTGTGGTCATGACCTTGGAGGACAAAATGAGCTTATGCAGTGAAAGGACTATGGACAAATCTATAGTTAATTAATTTAACATTATCTTAGTATACTTTCTAGCTAAAATATACTCTATGGCAGAGATCCTTAACCAGGGGTGTCTGCACCCCCTGAGGATGTGGGAGGCAGTGTTAGAGGGTGCTGAAAGACCCGGAAAATCAGAATTATTAATAAAAACTATATGCAAATTTGACCCTTAGGGATGTGTGAGATATGTCATGAAGCCGAATGGGGGGTACAGAAAATGTATTGAAATCAAGAGAGGTGCTGTGCTGCAAAAAAAGTGAAAAAGCCCTGCTCTACAGACATTTTAAAACTAATTACTTTTAAGTCTACTAATTTGGATATCATTACATTTCTCTCTTTATAAAATGATAAAATAATACACTTGAGGAGTATTTATTTAACTCGCTGCATTTAGGTTAGAGGTGGGTTTTGAATCCCTAATGAACTGGCACCCTAAAAGAACTACTCTAATAGTTTCATTACATGATTGGGCTAATTTGGAGAGATAGCATCCTGACGTCATTTGCGTATTGTGTCCGTGGTTCCGATAGGGTCAAAACCCTGGTTCTGATAGGGTCAAAACCTAGGTTAGGGATAAGCTAAGGGTTCAGGTTAGATTTAGGGATAGATTTAGGGTTCAGGTTAGGTTTAGGGATATATTTAGGACATAAGTTCGCAGATCACGGCAACCAAGATGGCAGATGATCCTTACATATTGTTTCATTCAGGTTTTCAGAAACTAATCACAAAGTAGAGCTATCGTTAATGTTATTAAATATTGTTACTAGTAAGTTTCTGCAGCACCACAGGAATGGAATTAAATTTCTTCCAGTTTATTTTTCCATGGAAGAGAGGGAACAATTGATAATTTTCAAGCAACTTGAGCAATATGTCCTTAAACATTGTCTTTACGGTTTTGGTTTTTAGCCTCATAGGGCAACCCTAAGTCAGACTTTGCAGTTGACATAGCCATATTATGTCAAAGCCAAACACAAATAAAAGATAAAACATTTCTGGACAAATTGGACTAGCAAACAATGAAAAGAAAATTAATGAGAATAAATCGTAACAGCAAAGACATGGCAGTGATAAGAGTAAAATCACTAGAAAAGGTAGATAATTTTACTTATCCAAGTAGTATAGCTAGAAAGGATGGAAGCACTGAGGTCTTCCTGAGAAGGCCAAAGGACTTCAGTTATATGGAACTCAGGGCAAATTGTATCCATTTTGTCAATATACTTGAACAAGATTGTTAAACCTTTTTCTGTTGTATGGCTCAGAAAGTTAGTGATCAACAAAAAGACATTAGAGAATACTGCAAACAGCTGCCTGAAAGAATCCTAAATAGTAAATGGTTCAACAAAATCCAAAACACAACCCGGAGAGAATTGGGATCAGAATTTCCAGATGGGGTGAAATTCAAAAATGAGGTAGAAATGAATGGGTCATACCTAAATAAACAACAGATGCCAAGACTAACTAGGCAAGAACTAGTATGGACCCCATAGGGATCAAGAGGATGGAGCAGACCAGGTGTATAGAGTATAGAGGTAGACCAGTCTGACAATTTGACATGGTCATGGGTGAGCTTAAATTCCAAAGAGTTGGAAACAGTTTTAAAAATTGCAAGAGACCAGACAGTGGGGAAATATATTGTTAATAGTGCATGCTCCACTAACAGTTGAAAAAGCAAAGAAGAGGCCAAAAGAAACTACTAAGCTAACAATGATACCTACCATTTGCAGGAATTGAAGAAAGCCATGACAGGTTACCAAATAACCTAAGTCCCAAACTATGATGACTCTTTGCTGAATTTTTTCTTCCACATGATTTGATTGTAAGTTACCTCTAGCGCCTTGACCCTGAACGTTACTAGAACCAGCTCCAGAATTAACTTCCACCGAACTTCTCTTTCGATGTGAACTCAGTGAAAGTCTCTGGCCCACTCTTTGGGCTATTTCTTTTGGTTCGTTGACATTGACTCTATTACTAGTGCTAAAATTTCTAACACTTTCATTAATATTTTGTGGACCATCATAAAATGGGTTAGTGATGCTTGTGCACGAGGAGCTCTGAGATTGAGACGGTGAGCTATATCTGGACAGTTCTTCACTGACTGTGTTATCATTATCATTGTCAGCATCTAAAGCACCCCTCCTTTCACTATCATCTATTGTAGTGATAGAATTGGTGTTACTGCTGGCACTAGCAATGCATTCACCGCTGTTGTTGGAGTTTGTTAATTTTGAATTGACGTTGTTGGAACTAGCACCCCCTCCCACATTCGACTGCTGTAACTGTGGAGCCTCATCTGGCTGGTAATTTGAACGCTCCATGAATCAAGTTAAGATAAATAGATAGATGATATCAGTTAAAGCCATCACCACTTGAAATTATATTCCGTTATGCGAAACTTAATGGATTTCATTTAATTAAAATATTTTGGCGAAATCGACTGAGCCATTGCTAATCATAAGTGGTTTATAGCAGAGTGGTTGTGTTTATTGATCCATTATAACCCGGAAGTGAATGTTAAGTAACTTGAGGTCTACATGGGCGGGCACTCACATATTCACACATGAAATAAAGATTTATTGGTTGCTTTTTCTTTAAAATAGTTATAATAAACAAAACACAAAATTGAAATTTACTGAATAATTAAATAATTTATTTTGAAATGCAATTCGATAAATTAAATCCAAAAAATAACTTAAATTCAAATATTAGTCGTCTGCGATGTTAGAAACCAAATTGGTTACTTATAATTAGCTTTATTTAGATTTGAATAGCGTTCCCCGTCACCCCAAATGGTGGTCCTTGCCTTGGTTGGCGAGCCTTAAGTTTTGGGGGCATCCAAATTTGCCCACGATCTTCCATAGACCGTCTCTGCTGACTGTGTCAAAAGTATTGGTTAGATCCACAAAGGCGTCATAGGCGGAGAAGAGGTCAACACTTTTCCTGCAGTTGTCTGACAGCAAACATCTCATTAGTTCAATGCTCTGCGAAAACCCCAATGAATTTCTGGCAGTGGACCCTTCTTAAAATGTACGGGCCATGTTACAAGAATATCAGACGACCGCATGCCCCCCAAATAATATATTATGGTGAACACAAGCACAGCAGGAGGTTTGCTAGGGGACAGAAGAAACGCTTTAAAAAAACACTCAGTGTGACACTGAAAGCATCTTTGAAAGCATCTCACACTGACTCGGACATGTCGGAACAGTTCTCAAAGGATCACGACTCGTGGTGCTTTTCCATATACAAGCGCTCAATGCCGCATGGGCCTGACAGGACAGCTCCCGCAGTACACAAGAGACAAGCCAGAAAAGCAGCGTCTGTTTTAACGTATTAAACTCACCCGCCTCAGAATCTCGTAAAGCATTTTTTAGAGTTACGTAGAACGTAAGCTTATTTGTAAATGCTAATTTATTTTTTAAAACATGCCTATGCAACTTTATACGTCCTTACAGTACTTTGGGATGAACGGCAAACATGGGCTAACCCAACTCCCAGAGCCGGCTCAAGGTACCGGCAACTTAGGGCAGTTGCCCGGGGCGCCATGTGCTTAGGGCGCCATCAACGATCTTCCAAAAACTGGAAAAAGCAATGGATGTGGGCGCTCTGGATGAAAAATACAGTTAGGTTCCAAAGGTTTGTGGTTTGTATACCATACTCCATAAATCCTGCGGTGGTGCAGATGAATTGGCGGCAAAAGGCTGCAGCCGCTTCGTTTGTAGGTCCATCGAGTTCGGGGGGGGGGGGGGGGGTTGTTTTAGGTCTTGTTGAGCTACATGGAAAATTCCCTTAATAAAGGTTTGTGGTTTGTATACCATACTCCATAAATCCTGCGGTGGTGCAGATGAATTGGCGGCAAAAGGCTGCAGCCGCTTCGTTTGTAGGTCCATCGAGTTCGGGGGGGGGGGCGGTTGTTTTAGGTCTTGTTGAGCTACATGGAAAATTCCCTTAAACATTGAGTGAACGTCTGCTTCGAGTTGTGTCGAAAGAAACTCACGTTCACTAGTTTGGGGGGAAAAAATGTTCAGAGCAAAATAATCAATTTGTTAGGAAATGCTGCTCAAGAAAATATTATGAAAATATGAAATATGGCTACGCTCGATATATCTGATGTTGAAGATCTTTCTAAGGTAAGTGTTTATAAAGGTACGTGCTTTCTGCGTAATGCTCGCTGTTGTTCTCCAAGTTGTGGCTCTATCGAGTATGACTGTTTTGAAATTTGTGTTGAACTTTCTGACTTTGGTTTGAAGAGTCAGCGCCTTAGACTCTCATATTTCCTTTAATACCACAAATGCTGACATGGCCTTTCCAATTCTAGCCCTGATATACGTTTCAGATCCACCATTTGCAGAGGGGTGGCGTTTTGGGGCCGCCTGGAGAGTTTTTTCGTACGTGGAGAGGCTAGAAGGGCGGCAAAAAGCTTGACACGCTCGCCGGTGGCATTAACCCCGGCTACTCCACAGGGACCATGCATTTGAATATGAAACAGTCTATGAGACAGTAAATGGGCCCTTCCAGTGTCTGTGGGAGACAGTGTATCGGCCCCCTGATAAAAAAGTTTGAGGACCCCTGCTCTAGCTTCACCGTCCTTACTTCACGTGATTAGAACAAAATGGCGGATAAACATTGACTATCAACAAAAGATATTTTAACGCTGGTGCTGGGTGAATGCATGAGCCGATTCATTAAACATGGCTGAAAAAGAACATGCACCGCTAACTGCCTCTTGTGTTCGTGCACTGGTAGACAAGCTCTATGAGAAGCGCAAAAGTGCTGCTTTGGAAATAGAAAGGCAAATTATGCTCTATCATTACTATTATTACTGGTGCCTAAACTATTAACTGTTAACTATTAATAATTAATATAATATGCTCTGTATGCAGGATTCATGATGAATGATGATGCCAATGATTATGCAGCTAAACAATTAATGTGTGTCCAGTGTTAGACATTTTGTAGGCCATTTGATTTAGTTGCTACCGCATCTTCAATTTCAATTGGGCCTAATGCAATTTAATTTTTGTGATGTTCACTTTATTATTATTATTATTAATTTATACCAGTATTTATTATTTATATTTATTGGTGTATGTATGAATATTGATAAGAATTAAAATGAGATACAGTTCCTACTAAACGGAAAACATCAGGTACTGAGATCTTATCAGAACAACCCTACATCACAGGTAAAGAAAGATGCTGTCAGCAAAATAAAATTGGAAGTGTGAGAGAAACTTCATGAAATGCAGGACTCAATAGCACAGCATTAAGGCCGATGGAAGTCAGGTCTCTGCCAATAGACTTGTTATAAAACTTTTCTACGATAACCTAAAGGAAGTCTATGTACCATCACAGACTTAGGCCACTTGCCCATCCTTAACAAAGATGGAACTCAGCTACAAACAAGAGTCATATTTTAGAAAGATGGACCAAACGCCTTTTCAAGGCAGGTCCTTAATTGTCCTGCTGTGAAAAATGATAATGCCATTGCTAGCTTACCACAGGAGCCCTATTGCTAGACAACAGTCCCAATGAGGTTGACGTCAGGAAGGCAATCCAGCAACTCTCCTCGACAAAAAGCCCCTGGACAAGATGCAATCCCTGCCAAAATCTAAAAAGCAGGAGTCGCCGTCTTTTCAAAAAGACTGACAGAGCAATTTGAGTGGATATGGAAAGATGGTACTGTCCCTTAACAATTCAAGGAGGCAAATATGATACACATTTATAAGAGAAAAGTCAGTCATATGATATGCATTTATAAGAGTGTAGCCATGTGGTGGCATGTTTACAGTTTAAAAATCACAATAAAACAATCAGGTCTGAGGACTATAGCTTTATTCTTAGGTACAATCTGTTGACAGTAAAATCTTTCACACAATATCTAAAATATATTCACTCAGTATCCGACACAGCCGACTACTTGTATACAGCTCAGAAAGTACACACATCCTGGGTTTAAATTCCACCTCCCTGATATAGTCACGATAATGTCCATGAGCTGTTTTCCCAGTCCCCCATGGGACAGGTATGCCCAGCTCAGTGACTGTGAACATGAAAAAGAAAAACCCCATAGGTGGCACCCTACAAACATAGGTGGCACCCAGCCACATACAAAATGTTATAAAAATGCAGTTTACAAAAAGTGGCACATTGCCACAAGAGAAAAGGCTGTCACCAAATCTGTGACAACTATCAAGGCTTTTCTCTCCTGTCCATGGTTGGGAAGATCTTGGCCAGAGTCCCACTTAATTGTATGCAAATACACCTTAACGGGGACTACTCCCAGAAAGCCATTGTGGATTCTGTTCATAAAGGGGCACAGCTGATATAAAAACAAAAAAATGTGTTTTAAAGATTTTCTTAAGTTTCACTCAAATCCATGAACATCGATTGAGGCAGACCCAATGTTGGAGTAAGATCCTCTGGGAATAAATGGACCACTCTGGCCAAAGAAAGCACACAGCAAGGAAAAGCAGAATGTCCTCCAATCCATCTGGGACCCCAAAACACCTGTGTCCTATGTCTGGGAATGATTTCCAAGCAAAAATAGGACTAGCAAGCTACCTTTGTACTCACAGATGACTATAGCCTTTTGTCATCTTCACGTGTGAAGGACAAACAACAAAGGAATTAACTGACTCCCAATCAATCTCAATCAGTGATTGCCACCATCCATTTCTTGTATTATATTTAAATTTGTTTTTTTTTACATATAATATTATTATTATGAATTTATCTTCATATAGTAGTGACTATATGTAGGCCATTTTTTAAAAGGCTACCCCTGCAGGTCTATCATGAAATATAATAATACATTTAAATCACAAATAGCAGTAAATAAATATTATGTGGAGCATTTTTTGTATGCTCATTAAAATTTAGGCACTCATAGCGATGTAAAAGATGCCTTGGTCATCAGTATTAATTAGGCTCATGTATAATTAATGAGTCAAATGCTTATGTCTACACACAATACACACAAATAAAAGGGAAATTTCCATATCGTTGTGCTGGCTGATCAGATACTTTTTTAAACTATTTGTTTACCTCTTAATCAATACCAAAATCCACACTCAAACTGGTATCATTTTTATTTATTTAGGCCATACTGAAAAATTATAACCCCTTTTATTTTGAAATTACTTTTTTGTTGTTTTAATTCCTGTAAATACAACATTGTTTGGAAAATAGTAATATTTTCACACATAGTATATGAATGGCCCCCATATAACTTAAATAATGACCAAGTTATTGACTAGCATCTGATGTTTGATAAATTACTCTTGTTCCCGTCCACCCATTTAGCTGAAAATTGACACATAGACTTGTTGCCAATTACAACACAGTCTATCAATTTTTCAGCCCCACTCCAACCCCCTAACCCCCCCACCATTGCTGGATATTATATTTCATAAAGTATTTATACAAAAAACTTTGTTGCTAGGGGTTGTTAAATAAAACTTGAAATTGCTTTAAAGTAAACATAGTGCCATGTTCTCTGCT